TAAGTTTAAATTTGTCTGTATATTAATATTGTTAAATTTAAAATTTTAAATTTTAAAAAGCGACTATTCATAATTCAGTTTATAAAAATAGGTTCCTTTTCAGAATTTAAGTTTAAAATAAACAAGAACTTCCCTTACAGAGTATAATGACAGAACGTGCCTAATGAGGTAGCTTTTCTTGCCGTTCCTTTTAAAGTTTTTTCCCTCTTGCATTTCGTTTTTAAGTTTTAACCGAGTCGAGTCAGCAAAGGCGTTGAATGAAAAATGCAGACGATGGACATTTAATGGAAAGAGTTTGGAAAACTTGGTTAGGTATACAAAGTCATGGAGATGACTTAGTATTCGCCTCAGCTTCTGTGTCCTCGCAGACAATAACTTTTGGGTGCACCTTAAAAAATCACTTCATTGGCCTAATTTAAATAAACCTTTTTTTAAGGTTGATTTGTGTTTTCAGATACAATAGCCAATTGGAAAACAAATGGCGAAACATATGTCGAATTGCTCCTTTTTATGTTAAATATCTTTATATTTTAAGGAAAAATATTTATCCATTAAATTTTGACATTTCCACAAAAGTATATAAAACATAAATTTAAACGTTTTGGTTAGGTAACTTTTTAAACATCTTAAAAATGTTGCACTATTTTTATGCCCTTTTTAAGAACTAATTGCCTAGACTTTTCTTTAGATTAGTTGAATATAGATGTTTGTTATATATTTTTTGTTTAACATTTTGTATAAATCTACAGAGTAAAACAATTTGTGGGAAAATTTGATTTTTGTTGGCAGCAATTCATTGAGTTAATTAATTACACCGTTTAGCTTTCTTATACCCTCTGGGTATTATGAAGTCGATTACCGCCCATTTCCACAGCGCGTACGTGCTCTTATAAGGCTTCTTTTTTTCTGGGGAGGAATGAATAATGTGCACCTGTGCGAAAAAAGGGCATGCTTGGATAGTGGGGTATGAAACAACCCCCTGGAGGGCCAAGGGTTAACCAAAGCCGTCGATCAACCGCCGCCGTTTGTTTGTTTGTCCTGACTTCGCTCGCATTTAGCATATTTCATGGTCCTGCGTCCTGCGCCATGAAAAATCCTTTATGGCAAGTGAATGGAATAAGCAAGTAGCCGAGGGCAGCTGTATGAAAGTCATTGCCTACAATGCCGCTCGCTTAGCTTTTCCAAGTTTTTCTTTTCAACTAATGTCTAATAAGCAATTCCCCCCGTTCCTTTTTTTTTGCTGTCAATTGAAAGATTTTTTTTACAAATGATGCTGGCCACGTTTTTTGGACAAGTTTTTTCGGCAATACACACCCCCACGTGAAAAGTGAAAACTCAGCAACAGGCCCGCGGCCAAATGTCGAGAAAGTCTAGGGGGTAATAAATTTTGTTTCGCCAACAGCTTTTCAATGCCATTTCCGAATGCAGTGGAAAAGCCACACATACAACGCTGTGCAACGCTGCGTATGCTTAACGCCCCAAAGCGAAATGATTTATGCGCTGCACGAGGAAAAAAAATGGAAATATTTGAAGAGGTTGAAAAAGAATGGAGCATAAAAGAGAAAGTTGAAAATGGGAAATTGGAGCGGGCAACTTTATGTTTTGAATATTTTTAGCTTTTCTTGAGGAACTTAAGCTCTTAACAGCTTTTCAGGTTTTTCAAGTTGGTAAAAGCTTATTGGCCAGGATTTTCAAACGACTTGAAAGCCTTTTTGATCTGAAACTTTTATAAGCTTAAAGCTTTTAAGGATACAACCTTTGAGCTTTAGCTGAAGCTTTTATTAAAAAAGGCGGTTATATTTCATATGTATATATTTGAATTTAAATTCAGAATGCGATTTAAAAACAAGAAAGCAGCATTGTGTGCATAAAAACTGAATAAAATCTTAAATTTGCGTTAGTTTGAAAACAAATAAGAACCTAAATATTTTTGGCGATTGTTATTTTCCGTATTTTATAAAAAAGTCAAAAGATATAACAATTGCAATTCTTTAACAGCATACAAGTTTGTTACTTCCGAACTCCTCAAACAATTTATCAGTAATGAATTGTCCTACTTTTTACTGCTAATTGCCAACCGCAAATTTGGGAGTGCTATTAAAGTTGACGTTGTAATGTCACTAACCTATAGCTCCTCTTGGAAAACTTTCCGCCATTGGGGTGCGTTTTTCTGTCCGTGTTATCTCTACCGGAAAAAGAATCAACTCCCCAACGACGACTGCCATCAACTGCAGCAGTTTAATTGCAAATTGCAGGGAACTTGCCAGGTCGGGCAATTAGAAAATGGAGGGGTGAGCGAGCGGAATTAAATCAAATTTCTGTGCCGGCTGGTAGCTCATAACTGTGGGGCAAAATGGGTTAAGCTTACACAGAGAGAACTTAGTTTCATAAAATAAAAAAACATATTAAAATAAAAAAACCCAACAGTTATAAAAGATAAAGTATCAATGTATATAGCTAAGAAGAGGAAACAATTTATTTTAAATTCCTAAATAGCCCAGTTAATCAGGCAAAAATTATGCAAAGATTGTTACTTTACTTAGTGTATATTGTTAATAAAACATAAAGAATTTACTTTTCTTATAGTTCCCCAAATTTGAGTTCTCCAATTATTAACATTTTCTTTCAGTGCATGGATATTTTTCCATTTTGGTCGAGCATAAAGACATTTCCGGCGGACAGCTTGTTGCACCCTCGCCGGGAAATGCATTTTCCATGAGCGGCACTCATCACCCCCCCCTTCACGTAGTGTATCCCATAACTATCCCCACACCCACCTCCACCTCCCTCCTCCACCTCCACCTCCCCCTCCCCCTCCACTTCCACCTCCAGCTGCACTATCATCGTCTTCATCATGGGGCACTTGTCTGCCGCTCTTGTGTCGCGTTTCTATTTCTATTTCTATTTCCATCCTCTCCGGCATCCATCCTTTCCATCCTTTGGCAGCTTCCGCAACGCTGACGCACAACGGAGTGTGATTATGCACTGGCAAAAATAGTCTGTAGTGCCAGGAATTTTTCAAAGTTTATAGTTTGTTTTTAATGTGTTGTAATTGACTATTAATTATATAATGTTTAGAAGTCTTTTTAAAACCAGAATAGTTCAGCAATAAAAGCCAATATTTTTCTCAGTGCATGAGAGGGTGTTTTTATGGGACTGGTTAGCGACTTCCTTTCCGCTTGCGTAGGTGTTTCGCTCGTGGCCATCTTTTGGCCTTAGTTTGCCATTTTTCTTCATCTTTTGTGAGCGCTGATGAATTCGTTAGAGGTAACCCCCTCCACCACCCCCATAACCACCCCCTGCCAACCCACCGCCCATGGTCGCACCTTTGGAGCAGTCGTGCGCAGGTTGTAAACAACAGGCGGGCAAAAGAATGGAAACAAAAACCGCAATAAGTGAACATTACAGAGTCGCATCCTTGACGTCAACGGCAGCAGTACAAGCAGCAGGAAAATGCGGGGAAATCATGAAAAACAGGAGAGAAACATCGGGAGATGGAGCAGCCAGAAGCCGCAGGAATGCAAACTGGTGACATACCGGAAGGGAGGCCACAGGAGCCCATGGAATCCGTTGGTTTGCACAGACTTAAATCGCATAAAATCACAGGAAACACAAACAAACAATTAACATTCCAAAAAACATTGTTTGATAATGGTTAATACAAAAAATCCTCTGCAGTTAGAATTTTTTATTTACAGTGTCTTGTAAATATTTGTATATAGTTTTACATACATCCAGCTGGATTTGCCTTAAAAGTCTCCGACTTCAGACTACAAAATATGGCAACAATTATACAAATAGCCTTTATATTCTGGCTGTTTCAGCACATTCCATCGGCTCAAATGTATCGTTACCTCAAGGATTCCGGCGATAATTTCGGGCACCTAAGGCCCAGGTTATTCAATCAGAAGAAGCAAAGGAGCTGGGACCACGGAGAGTTCGAGGATCAGGCTCAAGATCCGTTTCCAATCAGTTCGTGTTTGGACTCGCAATCGAGCATCTGCTCCGCCGAGAATCCCAACGATGTGAGATACGAGAAGAACCATGGCTGCAAGAGTCCCAAGAAAGTGGTCAAAGACGAGGACGATGACGAGGATGCCGATCCTGCGGCCAATAGCGATGACGCTGATATGGATAATTGCAAGGACGACGACGAAGGCGACGATGAGAGCGATCAGGATGGCAGTGAGGTCAGTGCGGGGGACGAGGCCTTCGTGGCCAGGATCTCCTGTCTGCTAAGGGCTCTCGAGCAGCACACCAAGTCAATGGCCGACAATCTGAAGACCCTGCAATCCCGCCTGGCCAAGAGCACCAAGACCCAGAGCACCACATGCAGGAAAAACAATTTTGGCACCCTGCTCTCGGCACATCCCAAGGCGAAGTGGTCCAGGAAACCGATGGCCTTCCGAGAACCAGATCAGTGTGCTCAGGATGGAATGGCTCCCGAGGTGAAAGTGGAATCCCTGGACCACCAGCCAGAGGCATTGGGTATTAACACCGCCGATGGGGAACATCGAATGCTCCTGCCGCCTCTTTTGAAAATCATTCAAAGTCCAGCACCCCAAAAATCGCATTTGCAGAGTCGCCAGGACATCACAGGCTCCAAGTATTTGCTGCCCACACGGGAAGTTGCCGGTCGGATTGAGGCTCAATCAAAATCCCACTTCGACGAGGACACTCAGCTGCAGTACGAGGAGTACGAGGCTAAACTGAGGCGTCTGATGGCCAATCGGGATGCCATCGAGAGGAAAGTGAAGAGCTTAACGGCCCCACAGCAGGGGGAATGTATTTAGAACCTATACTCTATTTCAAAGCTATCAATAAAATGTATCCTATTAAATACAAACATATCAAACAGACTATTATTTACTTGTCAGATTTTAGCCTACGGAAAAGAAAGTTTTTGTTACTGCTGTCAGTTCAGTTCAAAAAAGATTAATCGCAGTAGACTGGCTAACTCCTGACAACTTAATTATTCTACCCTATTTATTCTATCTGGAGTTTTCAGTCCGACAACTTAGCCAAAATGACTTCCATGAATTTACTGGTGATTATCTACGTGTTTATGCTGATTGGCGGCTACTTGCAAGTCGATGGAAGACGCCGTTCCAACGATAGACACTTCTACAATTACGACGATGAAACGGATAACTTTGAGAGAGAGTCGGATTACAAGTCACTGGGCGAGGATGATTTCTCCAAGAGTCTGGAGTTCCAAGCCCCGTCGGAGTCGCAGTCTGACGATGATGAAGATACCTTCGATGAGTCCCTGGACAACGATGATCTGGAGCAGTTGGACATGGACACAGGCATTATTGGGAAGAAGAAACAAGCTCAGCACAAGTCTGGGAGTAAGTGGGCCAAGTCGTGGAACAAGTTAGAGAAAAAAGAAAAGGGAAAATTGAACCAAGCTGGACAGATCGATTTCGACTTCAAGATGAATGACGATGAGGACGATCATCAGCATTAAGAAACAGACACAAACAATTTCCACCAAACAAAACATTTTCTTTTAAAGACCCCTTTTTGAATAATTATGTTAATAATTTTATTTGTCTAAAAATACAGAAATACACTATAACACCTCACAATTTGTTTTAATATTTATTGGGATAAGTACGGAATGCATCTAGAAAAGTAGAAATGGCTAAATTCCTAATGTTGAAGTCAGAATTAAGTAGGAATTTAAATTTTGTTATAACTCTTGAATGAGCTTTTTCCGAATATTTGCTTAAATTTAAATCCGAAATGTGTGTCCACATGCGAGGAAACCTTCAATTTGTTTCGTAACTCTCTGCCACATCATCGAGTCGACTCAAATTTGACTGATTTTGTTGAGTTCCTGTTGAGTCAGCTGGAAGTTTTCCCTGGCTCCCTCGTTCTTTTGTTCCGACTGTCAAATGGATCCAAATCGGAGCTGGAAAACTTTGGCGGAGGTGTCAGAGTCAGTCAATCATTCAGTGCACCCGCCTGCAGTCCCTTCCCTTCGCCGCATCCCAGCTGAGTTCTGTCAAATTAGTGCAGCCTATTTGAAATGGCACAGTTCTTCCTTTTCTTGCCACGCCCTCATTTTCCGCCTCCGCCCACTAAGTGCGGAAAAGCAGGAAAATGGTTTCTGCTGTGTGTGAGTTTTGGCAAAGGGAATGTGTAATAAGTATAATCGGCGCCTAAATATTCTTAGATAATTATATAGAATGTTTACAGCAAATTAAATTTTACATCATTTATTGGTAATTATTTTGGTACAATTTTAGACATTACAAATTCTCCAAAATTCTCCATTTTATGCTAACTAATAAAAATAGCTTAATTAGCTCATTGGCTAAATAAAAATGTCGTTTTATTACAAATTAAAACAAGGTTTTTGAACTACAAAATTAAGTAATACAATATAACAAATTATTTGATGAAACAAAAGCAAGATTGTATAGACCTTTAAAAAGAGTATTTCTAAACTTTCATCGAACTTGTCCCTTTGTATGTGTGTGTGTGTGTGTGTGGGGGGTGTGCCTTTCGAATGTGTGCGTGGGAGGGCATGTGTGAGAGGTTGTGGGTTTTCTTATTTGCCAACCGCTTGTCGCTCGAGTTGCCCAAAATGGCTCAAAGCAATTTTCAAATTGGTTTCACAATCACAACGAAATCGATTTGCAAACATACACAGCCCCTCAAAAATCTACAACAAGTGCCACGCCCATTTTGGGCCAGGACATGTCCTGCAGTTGATGTTGTTCTAGCTACAATTATGTCCGGAGCGTAGTTAAAATGTTTATGGCCAACGTCAAGGAACCGTCAAGGATTTGCTGCTCGGATTTGCAGCGATTTATTTCCGCTGATAAAGTGCGATTTGAAAAGCGATTTACGCAAACAAATCTCTCTTTTGTCCGCTCAGCAGCTGATTGGTTTTATGGCTATGTCAATTGTTTTGTCGCCTTTTCTTCGCCTTTTTTATTTGTTGTGTTCAGTTTTATGAGGGGTTTTGTATTGGGTTGCTTGCCCTTATTTCTGGCGTTTTTCTTCAGCGGCATGAGTATAATAACTTATCGAGGGCTCAACGCTTGGCTGGCTAAGCATCTACAACTTTCCTGTCGGTTTTTATTAAATTTTTGCGCCCGCGACGTTTAATAAACGAGAAATAGCTGGCATAGCATAGCGCCACATGGCGTATACTTGATGTGTCAAGCGCGGGCAGCGAAACGAGAGAAATGCGAGAACCGCAGCTTAAATGCCAGTTTAAAGAGGATCGCAGGACGCAATGTGTGCCATGTCGGTCGAAACTGAATTATGAATGAACGAAAGGTGGAAAAAAAACGTTGGCAACGTTTAAAACTTAGAGAAAAATTATACAAAAAATTATTATAAACTATTTCCAAACTAAATTGGTATACAAGTTAGTTACTTAAAATCTTAGTGGTAAGCGAAAACTTTCAGAAAACCAAAAAGACTATTGGAGCTTGGGAATTTACAAACTGGTCTTAAGTTTCACAAATCATTTTTAATGACACAAAATAATTAGTATTCTTTATGTGGGTCTAGCTTAATTTATTTTAGCAATCTTTTGAACTTTAACAAGCAAATACATAAATAGAGGCAACAAACATATTTTGTTTTCATCAAATCTTTAATAACTTTATTTTTTAAAAGTGCAGGACAGAATCCTTGCCTGCCTTGCACTTTGCACTTGTCTCGGCAAGGTCAGTTAGAGGGGGTGGGCCTGGGTGGTTTGAGTGGGCTAAAAAAGGGGGGTATGGTGCGGTGCGGTGCTTCTCGTTTGCTGCTGCTCTGAACTTGAACTTTGTCAGACCGAAAACAGATGCTCGCTGTCTGCTAAGTCGGCTTTAATTATGGCATACAACACTCTGCAGCTCAGGGTGTTTGCAAAATAATAGGACGAGGGGGTTGGTGTGTCAGGTGGGGGCTTAAAAAAAACGGGGGAGGGAGGGGAGGTTAAAAAAATATTCAGGTCTTCAGTTACCGCCGAGCAATTAGAGGCGAGGCTACAAATTCTTCACACGCGCCGCACATAAATTCGCTGGCCAAGAAAAGAGACACACACACACACACAAAGAGCCAATGAAAGAGACAGAAGATTTGGGACAGGCGCCGGTGAAAGAGATGGATACAAAAAGAGATGGAGATGGCGACAAGAATTCCTTGCATTCTGAGCCATATTTTCCGCTATTTATTTAAGGCCAAAACTTTTCCCCTCTCATGAACAACAAGTGAAATATGATGCCTTCGCGCCTTACCTTTGCCCCCACCCCCTCCCCTCCCCCACTACCATTTTACCATATATATTCGGTCCAACATAATCATATTCATGACAATATAATGGCATCGTTAGATGGGCACAGAAGAGTCGGTCGCCTGGAAGTCCTAGGCAACCGCAGAAGTCGCTTTCATGCCACTTTTTCCCACTTTTCGCCAACGGCTGTCCATTAGCCAAGTCAGCGAGTCCGCCAAAAGTCGGCCTACAAGGGGGGTGGTTCCGGGTACTTTCTGGTTGAGGGGAGTGGGAAGGGGGGCTAGCGTTTTCCGCAGGGGCAACTTCATAAATTCGGCGGACTGTCAGGACACGTTGAGCCTGTAAAGTTTTCCGGTGCTTCCGCAGAGGTCTCTAAATAATTTTATTACCACCCCATTGGCGCACCTAATAATTGTAAACAATAATGACAAGACGAAGAATGGCTTTTATAATGAATCAAATTAAGAAAAGGAAGTTTAAAAGTGGAGGAGGACCAAAACTGTCCATTCGAGATTGATTTATAAAAATTAGCTGTGAATGCCACTTAATTGGAGATGTTATAACGAATTCAACGGGGTAAGAATTTCCAAGGGTTTTGATAAAAAAAACTGAAAAAATAAACGCATTTTTTATGGTTTTTTTGTTGTAGCTTTGCCAAAATAAGACGCATAGCGAAAGGAATGATTGTTCTGTGTAGCTGACAACCTACACAATCGATTCCATGAGGTTTTAGTAAATTTCATTTTTTGACCGATTTTCGCATTTTTCATAAGGGGTAACACTTGATTTTTTGCCAAATTTGGGCCGAAATAATATTTTTGAGCTGGTACAACCAATCGATTGGAAATTTTGTAACGAATTCAACGAGGTATGCTGTTCCAAGATCTGACCATTATTTCCAAGGATCTTGCTTAAAAAACTGAAAAATTTTTCCGGATTTTGGCCATAAAAAAATGTATTTAAGACACATTTTTAAAGCGTTTTTTGTTGTAACTTTGTCAAAATAAGCCGCACAGCCAAAAGAATGACTGTTTTGTGCAGCTGAGAACATATACAATATATTCCAGGAGGTTTTAGAAAATTTCATTTTTTGACCGATTTTCGCATTTTTGATAAGGGGTAACACTTGATTTTTTTCAAAATATGGCCCAAAATAAACTTTTTGAGCTGAGTATACCAATCGATTGGAAATTTTATAACGAATTCAACGAGGTATGACTTTCCAAGATCTGACCATTATTTCCAAGGGTTTTGATTAAAAAACTGAAAAAACCAACTGTTTTTTCTGGATTTTGGCTATCAAAATCACATTTTTTAATTTCAAATTATATTTATTAAACCCAAATTGTAAGCTACTGCTTTGTTAACTTTATACTTCCGGGACACTTTAAATATTAATAAAGAAAAATATTTCTTATACTTACCGAATGCTGCTTGTTTCATTTATTTTCAAACATTTATTTTTTTTTGTCATTTTGTGGGAGTATTTTTGGTTTTAAATATTTTTGGTGTGACACATATACACATAAGTACATACATATATACATACATATATATATTTCGGGCGTGTGTGTGAGTGTTGTGGGTGTGTGCGTGTTTTCGAGGGGTTGGCGGGGGGAGTAGAAGAGAAAAAGAAAAAAATATATAAATTTTTTCATATATATATAAATATTTATCAAATGATTGCACATTTAACATGATGAGATTTATCTTTTACATATTTCATTTTGTGGGAAATTCGGGAAACATGAGATGGGCTTTGTGTTAGTGTGTGTATGTGTGTGTGCGTGTGTAGATATCATGCATGAAGCTAGAAAGAGAAAAATACACTAAAACAACAAACATAGATGGGAAATTTCTAGGACTTACCTGGGTCAAAAGTCACCGGCAGAGAAAATCTAATAAAACGAAAAAGCTTTTGACAGGCAATCAGGGGCTGCCGCTGGCAGCTGTTAAACGCGCACATCTATTGATTTTGACAATAAAATATGCGTTTTAGAATCGAGATTTGCACCCCTTTTGCTGCTCCAAAACAGAACAACAAAGGAAGTTGCGGTCGGCAGACCGATGTTTACATACCCTTACAAAAAAAAAACATTAATTTAACATTTAATTCAGACAGATTATATTGCAAGCCATCGTTCTGTTTGATAGTGTGGTCTGAAAACGAACAGATCAAAACTACTATTTTCGTAGAAAATGTGTGCGTTACAAACTTCTGGTCAAAAGTACAATACCCTCTGAAAGCATGAAAAAAGGGGTGAAAAAACCCGAAACTTTATTCGATTGTTTGGCCCTC